ATAAATAAATATTTTTTGAGAAAAATAAAAATTCACCTTACTTTTTTATCACACCTCGTATGCAAAGCTAATAGTGTTTGAATAAACACAAAACATGTAAATTAATTTAGAGAGAGCGTTACGACCTATCATACTTCCGGCATCGGCTGCGAGACTAGTTTGATTCACAATAATAGAGCAGTGTTAGAATTAACGGAATGAATTATAATAAACAAATCATTAAATTTACTTAATCAGCATTAGCTGGATATTTGGATCAATAGAAGACTAGGAAAAGTCAATATCCGCTGGAGAGACTACGTCTTTGATTAGTATTAAAGGGCAACGCATTTACAGGTATAACATAGAATAATAGAATACTAATTTGAAATGCTAATTAACACTTAATCTAAGTCAGGCCACCAAAGGCCATAGTTTTTATTTGCATTATCACAGGACAATTATAAACCCTAGCTATTGGCTGGAGTCGCCTTTACGATTGGGGACCTGGTATGCCCAACCAGGTATGGTGCACTAGGTGTTATCCCCTGATCTTCTGGCTGTAGAGTTCTCTGAACTTTACCATTCTCGGACCTAGCTTGATAATGCTTTTCCAGAATACCCGATGTTTCGACTCTTTTATGGTAAACCACCGAGCACATATCTGGGGCATTCACGAGTCTGGGAGGAATATGGAGACTCCAATGGAAGCGCGCTACCCTAATTCAAGGGTAAGGCGCAGAGTCGAGTAATATCTCGCTTGAAGAGTCCGGATGCTGCTCTGATAGATGCTGCTCTGATAGATAGATCTCCTCCACTGGGACGACTGAGTCTTAGTCTCGACGTCATAACCGTATACCCATGTTTCGTCACCTGTTATAACCCTGTTGAGTAAATCTGGATCATCGTTGACGTCATTCAGTAGCTCTTGGGCGATGCTCATGCGACGTTTCTTATGGTCGAAATTGAGCAATTTCGGAACAAACTTCGCTGACAGACGTCTCATGTCTAAAACACTCGTCAAAATTGATTGGCACGAACCAAATGAGATGCCAATATCATCAGCAATTTCTCTAATGGTAATTCGACGATTTCCCAACACTATTTTCTTCACTTCTTCAACATTCTCATCAGTTGTTGATGTGCTGGGGCGTCCAGAACGAGGTTCGTCGTCGGTGTCTTCTCGGCCTTCTTGGAAGAGTTTATACCACTTGTAAATATTTTTTTGGCTTAAAGTAGACTCACCGTATGCCACTTTCAGCATTTCAAGTGTTTTGGAACATTTGATTCCATTTTTCACACAAAATTTAATGCAAACTCTTTGATCCATGTTTTTAGACAGCAGCAAATCGTGGAGCACGCAAAACACTTCTAACCTTGATACTTCTCACAAACAAACCAAACATACTACAAAGCTGAAATTTGGAACGTATGTTCTAGACGAGTGTACCGACATAACCAAATAAAAAAGTCGAAGATCGAACGGACGTAGCCCGCTAAATTTCAAAATTCACCTTACTTTTTGATCACACCTCGTATGTTCATGCAAGGAGAGTGTTGAAGTAGCTTGCATATACAGTAACCTGCCACGTACGCATGTGCTGATGTGAGCAAGTATCTGCATTCGTGCCCTGCATGGCACTTCTATTTCATGCGCTCAGCAGAAAAAAACTAGTGTATTATGATTTTTAAATCAATGATACATTTTTTAAACAAATCACTTCTTCTGTTAAAAATGTTGATGATATTAGTGAACAGATTTCCATATAAGAAAGTATTATTTCACAACAACAAACTCGCCTGTGGAAAGAAGAAGAATACTCAACAATAACACAAGCTAAACACAATCGTCCAAAAAATATACTTTTTGATGAGTGTGCCGAAGAATTATCGTTTTCAAACATTTATCTCGGTCAATTCAGAAATTTTCGTGAAAGTCTAACAGTCACACTATTTATGATTGCTTCTAGTGAATTAAACAAATAAATCAACGCGCAGTTACGCTACATCTATTGTATATAGCAGTGAAAATTATGAGATTAAGGGTTCATGATTGTATAACAGTAGCTTTTAAATACAAGGGTCGTTTGAAAAGTCCGTACAAAAATAAAAACTGCTTGATTTTTTTTAATAAATCTTTCTTATTTTTCACCATAGTCTCCTTTTAGGCTTATACACTTCATCCAACGCTGCTTTAGTTTGTTGATCGCTTCCAAATAATAGGATTTGTCCAAGTCTGTAAAATAGGCATTCGTTTCTACAATCACCTTCTCGTTTGAATAAAATATTTTCCCCGCCAGCCATTTTTTCATATTAGGGAACAAATAGTAGTCCGACGGAGCCAAGTCTGGAGAATAGGGGGATGTGAAACAAGTTGGAACCCTATCTCCATCAGTTTTGCGGCCATAACTGCTGAGGCGTGAGCTGACGCATTGTCGTGGTGGAAGAGGATGTTTTTGTGGACCAATCGTGGACGTTTCTCTAGCAACTCGGTTTTCAAACGATCCAATAACGATGAATAATATTCGTCTGTAATGGTTTTACCCTTTTCCAGATAGTCGATGAAGATTATTCCTTGCGAATCCCAAAAGACAGTCGCCATAACCTTTCCGACCGAAGGAATTGTCTTCGCCTTTTTCGGAGCAGATTCCCCTTTGGTAACTCATTGTTTAGACTGTTCTTTGGTCTCAGGAGTGTAGTGATGTATTCATGTTTCATTTACAGTGATGAAACGACGCTCAAAATCTTGCGGATTTTGCTGGAACAGCTGCAAACCATTCTTGCAACACTTCACACGATCTCGTTTTTGGTCAATCGTGAGCAATCGCGGCACCCATCTAGCTGATAGCTTTTTCATGTACAAATGTTGGTGCAAAATATTATGTACCCGTTCGCTCGAGATGCCTACAGTACTAGTAATCTCACGCACCTTCACTCTTCTGTCAGCCATCACCATATCGTGGATTTTATCAATGATTTCTGAAGTGGTAACCTCAACAGGACGTCCAGAACGTTCAGCGTCTTTTGTACTCATATGGCCACTCCGAAAATTTTGAAACCACTTATACCATTCTAATCGAAGGTGCACAATCACCATAATGTTTATCAAGCTTCTATTTAATCTCCTGAGGCGTTTTGCCTTTGAAAAAGTAATGTTTAATCAATACAGGAAATTCGTTTTCATCCATTTTTTTACAACCACTCGATTTCTTTGATTGAAATGAATGTAAAACGCAAAGTAATTGGCCGATCTGGCAGAAACTTGGTATGTACTCTTCCAAGATATGCCACTAACTGAAAATAACCTTGATACGCACTAGTACCGCCATCTCTCTGACTTTGTACGGACTTTTCAACCGACTCTCGTATATTGGTAGAAATAATAAAATGACGAAATAGCAAATTCGATATGAAGAATATATACATGGCTGCAGTGAATCCAATCTCGCTTTTATTATATCAATATCTAATTCGGTTTGCTATTGGTCATCCAGAAAACAAAACTTATTTGCCACGATTTGACAACTTAGGAAACCTACATTATTTATAACAGTAAGCGCAAACGAAATAGAATGGCCTAATTTGCTTGAATTGTTGCAAACATTATCAGATAATGCGAATGAGAGCAATGAAGCATCTATTGTACTCGTATAATCGTTGAATTTTATTCAAAAATACATTTCAGTTAAGGACGATGTACTATAATGAATTGTGCATGAAAATGAACTCTCCGTGTCGAATCACAGGACTAAAGATATTAATTGGCGAGAATATAAGGAAGAGATAGGAAATTAACTGACACATTTCAGAGGTAAATATAATGCCTGAGCCGATCTAGAGAAAATTGTAGAATTCGTTCAAAATGCCATTGTAAATCATATGAAAACAACTGTCCACTAAAACTTAATAAATAGACAGGTGATATGCCATGGTGGAATAAACACATTGAATTAGCAAGAACAAAAGCCGGAAAAGCATATAATAGAGCGAAACAAGTAAATACTCTTGAAAGTTACAAAGAGTATAAAGAAACCCTTAGTTCAAGAAGAAGGTTAGTAAAACTGAAAAAGAGACGTGGCAGAGCTACTCTACAAGGATTGAAAGCTTGTCAGATACGGTAAAAATAGCCAGACTACTGACAAAAGAAAACAGTGTCCGTCTACAAAGTCTTAGGGACGTATCGGGCAACTGCATAGAAATAAAAGAGGAGACCTTAGAATGCCTATTAAAGAAGTTATTCTTTAATTTCATCAAGGAAGATGATAGTCGAACTAATCAATTAGAAGAAGAAAATTGTACACCAAGGGACTGAGATACCGCGACACGAATGGTGACTTCAAAAAGGTAAAATGAGCAATAAATACCTCCGAATCATATAAGACCCCAGGACCTGATGGTATCTTACCAAAGATGATACAGTAAGGTTACAAAACTATCCTGGGGTTGATTACTGGCATTTTCAGAGGTGGTATTGCAACAGGATACATACCGGAAAAGTGGAAGAGATTATCATTATCATTTGTACCGAAACCTGGCAGAAATGACTTGATAGTAAAAAGCTTCAGTTTTCTGGAAAAACAAGAGATGGACGTATATATCTAAAAACTTTCAAAAATAAATGCCATATATTTGTCATGGAGAAACTTCCTATTCAATTAGATTTATCTAAAATCACTAATCAATTACAAGAATAACCTAAGATAAAATATAATAAAGTTAAAATGGATTTTCCATATACTATTAGTTTTAATAATTCTAATTTATTTTTTTATAACAGAACGTACGAACAGTCCAAAGTTATTAAAAAATTATTTTGATTCGAAGAAACCTCGTTTATTTATACTTTAAATATACAAAAAAAAACTTATAAAGTCTTCAAAGTGAGTAAACATGGTAATATAATAATTTATTTTTAGCTAAGATATATAACTTAGAAATTTTAACAAATATATCCGTTAAAGGCAAATTTTAAGGTTTTTCAAAATGTGACCAAGCATCAGAATAAATAGTTTTATACATACCAAATTAATAAGGAAACACATAAAATAATCGCCCATTAAATCCATGCTCCCCATTATTTGGAATAATTTGGATATATTATCGCTTTCTATATCGAGTAGTAGACTATACTGTGACGATAATCGTATTTCTTTTACTAAACATTCATAAACGTTATCTTGCTCTTTCCGAGTTTTGAAAAGCTGAATCCTATCAAATGGTTGTAATTCTCTGACAGTGATAGGACAATTTTGAACAGCCTGATTCTGCAACGCTTCTTGAACTCGTGATAGAGCATTGGTGGTCTGGTAGATAAAAGTATATGAATTCCAGTTCATACGTTTGACCGTTTCAGCAATAACCTAATAATCATTACATAATGTTTTTAGTTTTTACACATATGTAAATGCCACATTTTTAATTTTATATGAGAAGCAGTGACTTGTTACTTATTTTATCAATAGAGAATAATAAAATGTTCATAGATAATAAAGAAACTATAATTATCTAACTCATTTTATACATTAGCTATATTTTTTTATCGTCACTGAGGTTTCAATAAATTATTTTGTGATTTATCGGAAAATCAACCATGATTTAATAAGCTTACGATTGATGAAATATACTGATCGTTATTCAGTATCAGTGGTACCCCATGAGCCCGCCATTGGAACATGATAGGGAGTCATAATAGAGAGTTGTATACGAGTATGTACAAAGTAATTACAAAGTGACAGTAACTCAATATTCTTATTCAGTAATCCTTTCAGGGCTCCTCTTTTTTTCTTATCTTTTTGCTTGTCTTAATATATTACTAAGTAATATAATTTTTAACACGATCTTTTTATGCTTTTCGTCACTATTGATTTTTGTCTCATACGCTTAAACTATACACTACGAATGGGTATTTAAAATACGTCAGTAAATGTAATCATATGGTTAGGACATACTATACAAGTGTAGTTTAAATGTTAGTCTGGGGTGTGGCTTTATGGATTTGCAGTCTTTATATTATAGGTGTTATAACTTTTTCTAAAATTTAGATATATACTTGTGAACACGATTGTAACTTCCCGATAGCCTGATAACCGGGATAAAGTGACGGTGTAATTAATAAAAGTTGAAAAGGTGAATTAAATAAGTGCATAGATTGAGATTGCAGGCAAGTTTTTGAAGAATAATTAAAAATCCTGTAATTTTTAAAACCCAACAAATGGCGCCACGATACGCGCAAAATACTATTATGTGTGTACAAACAGGAGACGGTGACGTCACATCTGACGTTAATCCTTTATTCCGCTGAAGTTCCAAATGAAGTAGCCTGATCGGTGGTTGCTTATCAAATAGGCAGATCCACGTTAGAATTCTACTTTTATTGGCTTTTCTGATACCATTCCCCGCTATCCTCTTTTCTATCGATGCTAAGGACTGCCCATTCCAAGGCTCCCTCTGGAACTGGCATGTGAGGATTCAGTATGTTGTCTGACATGAGATATATTATTGCCAATATTGACAGATTGCGAAACGATAATACTTGCTAGTATTTTACAAAAAAGTAGAAGATTCTTACGTTTCTGCGATGATTGGTTGCAAAAACAAACAAGAATAAAAGCAAGAGTAAAAAACAAGAGTACAAAAAATAAGTAAACAAGATAGGTCTTGAGACTTGATGTTATTACAAGAGGATTTTTACAACATCACTACAAATGACAACATTGGAGTTCCACTTATTATGACAACAATCAATAAACAAATTTCGCAATTCAATTTACCATCCTTGCGATGAATCACAATTCATCGCAGATGAACTGTACTCCGCAACAGCTTGGATATTATAGATATCTGTTTTGACGTCACTCTTTTAACACATACCCGTTTTTTCCAAAATTTCCAAACGCGATAGCTCGGCAGTAAGAAAAGGATATTTGAACAAAGTCAACGGAATATAAAAGGTCAGTTTTATTTACTTTGAGATAAAATTTATAGATTTTAAAGCAAGAAATAAAATAAAATTAAAGGCAAAAAGCACTGTATTTACTTTTTTAGCTTAAAATATCTTGGTAAATAGAGCTGATTGAGAGAATTGATCGTCGAATTTGGATTCAGCGCACTAAAAATCTTTGGAAATATATACTCTCATTTTTAGGTCAAAAAATTGACCTATATTTGTCGGGCTATATAATTTTTTCTGTCTGTGCATATAACATAATAAAATTTATTGGTTTCTGAATAGTAACATTAGAAAAATTAATGTGAATTATTATCAAAAGTAAAACTATATATAACTGACTACCATAGCTATAACAAAAATTGAAACAAACGTTTCCCTCTTTTTTTCTCTTTATCTTAGTTTTTTTTTTGCATGTACTGAAATTTGAACCTGCAACTCTACATATTACATTGATACGTTATCAAACTGATACCCGATATTATTTTTTCTCTAGCCATATTATAAGTGGCTGACATGATCTGTTACATATACGATAGAATACTATCATATTATCAGCCGGAACATTGTCACTCACATATTCTGCTACTCGCACAGATACTGGAAATTATTTGCAGCATTTCAAAATTCAAATTATATTTGTACAGATGAAAATTTATAATTATTGTAGACCATAGATGATTAATTTACTTATACTCCCTGAACGATCCTCATTTCCCAGCGACATACCATCGGCTGTTTTACAAAATTATAACTTTGAAGTTAGAAATAAGAAAGAATCATCAAATGTCAATGACAATTCTTTATCTAAAAATTTTGTACAGAAAATTGATTATCTAAACAATTACAACTTAATAGACAATTTCTAGCAAAAGCTAGAATAATATTAATTTTAATATTAATATTAATATTAGAATTAATTTTAATACAATCCAACAAACGTATGCTCATCTTAACTACGCGTAGCACTCGAGGTCCATCTCCCAGTTTGAAATAGCAAATGATCTCTAATCCCCCTTTGTGCATTAGAAAGGCAAGAGAAGTAACAGAATTAAACTGCCCAATGAAAAAGAAAATGTCATGCCTAATCAAGTACATTCTTACATACTAATCATCTCTCTCTCTCTCTTTCTCTCTCTCTCTCTCTCCCTCTCTTCAGCGTTATAGGCACAGCGAGTAGTTGTAAGGATAAGGTAGGTAACAAGGCGTGTACGCGCCGGCTACTTGATTTATTTACGGTCGGCATTGAATTTGTTAAGGTAGCGTACCGTCAAGGCGATCCCTCGCCGGGCGGCTTTCTTTTTTCGTTTAAGTAGGCTAAGTCGGTTCATCGTCAAGGCAATCACCTGCCGGGCAACACGTTCCGTATGTCTGTTAGATTTGTAAGCGCAGTAAATTAATTTATTTGTTCTTTGTTCTTTTATGGTATTAAGTGTTAAGAACACCGTTGTATTCAATAGAGTTAACACGTGTTTGTAACACGGTTGTGTTCATTAGAGGTTAAGAGTTTGTAAAAATTGTTATAAATATAATTATACGGTATATTCATTTACTGTATTTGAAGTGTGATTTGATTTTGATTTTTGATTAATTTCATTTCTTTACCTTTCCCCTCCCCCCTCGATTGCTATGAGCGAGTGCGCCTTACTTGCCCCGCCTTTAAAATTGATAACGAGTGAAGCTTTCGTTACATATTTAATAGTACACATCTCTTTAACAAAAGACCGGTCGAGATCAAAACAACAAGTATGTGAAGGAATCACAATGCGCAATGAATTGCGACGTAGTACTTCACTTTGGCTAATGAGTGAAACGATAGCCATATGCTTGCCCAGGATGATCTTATCAAAGCTCCCCCTGAAGTATGATGATACGTGGCCTCATCGGTGGGAAGGTACAAGACTCAGGATGATGTAAGGCAATTCACTCGAAGTCAATAACAGTCGATAGGCCTTGGAGTCTCGAAGTGACCCGTGGATGGGAGCGATGATGTGGCCAGTGACGAGCAGAGATGTTGGAAGCTTAAATGACCCCAGGCAAGTGTCCTAGCGTTTGCTCAAATAAAAGCCTCGACGCCCCACTCTCTCAATCCGATTCGACTCATTGATTAGCATATTATTTAGATCGTTTGCCGATAGAGCAGCACGCACACAACATCAGGATTTAAAGTACATGTGTATGACGCGGAGACAAACATCGATTCACATCGTTACAACTCTTCAGAAAAATCGAAATAAAATTTTTGAATCAATTATTTATATTTCCACCCTTTATTTATTTATAGTTTATTTACAGGATATAGTAGGACTTATCTGTCTGTTTCGTTCTTCGTGGTTATTTGTTGACCCAGCAGCTCTGGTTGGCTGTGGATAATGCTATTGGTCTCTGCTTACAAGAGATGTACCCGATGATAAATGCCAGTCATTAACACTCGATTTCAGGTATAAGAATTTACTCAGTTTAAAAAGTAATAATCAGTAAGAATGAATAATCCGTTGTAAAATTAATATTACATATGGTGTATAATTCAAGATAAAAATTCTATATAACAAACGTTAAGGCAAGAAAACTTTAAAGTGATATAAATTCGAGTAGTACAATATAATAAAAAATAAAGAATACGAAATTAAATTTAATTCAAAAAAGCAGTTTAGCCGAAGAATCGAGGTGTCGTCAAAGAGCCTAGATTTTTCAACCTACTAAATTTTCGCTAAGTTTGACCAATTACTACATCATTGACTCATCAAAGAAAAGAAAAGTAATTACCTTTTAGAATGTAACAAAGAATATCATATGACTAATTGGTAAAGTGTATATGTGTCTACTTTAAAACGGAGTAATTTTTAAAGTTCTTACTGATTAATCAATAAATAAACGCCAGTCGCTATTCATATACTTTTCGTCATATGCTTTTGCCAACCTTAGGAAAAAATTTAGTAAGAAAAAAGTTTTATATCTTGGCGAAAAATTATCATGGCATTGAAAAGCTGACGCGATCGTCTTTCGTGAATCCAAAGCTTTAAAAAAACTATTGTAGACTGAAAAAAAACTAAAAAATATCTGTTTCATTAACAATAAAATAATAATAAAAAATCAAAACGTTCAACCCTTATGAAACTCTGTATTGTTTTTGAATTTAATTTTTTATCGCATCTAAAAAATGTCAACGACATTTAAAAGCTTATACTTTTAGCTTGAAAAGTGCGTGGTCAAGTAAGTTTATACGTTAATTTTTACCCGAATTACGAATATAATAGTAAAAAATGTATTGTTTATTGCAAATATTCAATCTAAAAAATAATAAAAATATAAAAAAGTTGAAAATAAAAAAAATGTCTTCTTACATAAAAATGAATACATAAATAGAAATTTTAGGTCAAATAAAGAATTTGATACCAAATTTTTTTTTTTTTT